GGTGAGAATTGGATATAATCCTTTGAGCCAACAAATACAACAATGTGAAAAAATCTGCAAAGCATTCCACGAGGTTGCTGTAATTGCTGCGGATGATGAAGAAAAATATGAGTTGGTGATGAAATGCATACGAGAATTAAAGTTAAAAGTTACCGGTGATGAATTAAATCAGAAGGAAACAGCTCGAGCATTTTCTTCACAACCTCAAAATTATGTTGAGCAACGAAAAGTGTTAGGTGTAGCAAATAAAGTTTTGAGATTGGAAGTCGTGGTTCAAAAGCTTAAAAAAAATACTCAAAACAAGAAGCTTAAGGAGACTGCAACAAAAAACTTGAAATGCACAAAGGTATAAATGAATATTTTTTTTATGTCTATTATATAATGCATATAAATTTACATTTTTAGATATATTTATGGATAGGCGCCTATGAAAACATTGGAAGGCAATAGCGTATGCGATCCAACTGCTTTTAAAGCTACATTCGATAATCTTGAGGTATAGTAAATTGAGTTAGAATATTATATTCTTTATTGTTAATCCAAGAAAAATATAGCATGCTCTTCCCTTTTTATGTAATACGAACAGGTTAATCAAGTTCCGAGTTTTGGAAGATATTACATGCCAAGGCCACCCGATCCATGCATTTATCCCCATTCAGTTCAACTTTAAGAAAAGGTAAAACGTTTATTTTCTGAAGTAAATTTTTTGAAGCATGATATGATATATTCAATTTTATTTTTTTTATTTTGTGTGTGTTTATAATGAATAGGTTATTCCAGTTTCGACTTTTGGACGGTACTGCATCCCACGGTTACCTGCTTCACCCATTTATCCTGAAAGTAGTTCGATTCAACTTCAAGAATGCGTAATCTTTCATTAACATTTAACATGATACAATATATGGATAAAACTTGAAAATATTAATTTTGTAAGGCTAATATGTTAAGTTTTTTTATAGGATCCTTTTAATCCACTCTTGGGTGGAGGTTATGCTATAAGGAATAATAGCATACATGCAACAAATTCGACACAGGTAACTACATATGTTTTTATATTAATCTAATCTAATTGATATAAAAATAGTTCTTATATATCCCATTTTTACTATTTACTAGGATCGTTCCATTGTAGTTTGATTTTGTTTTATGTCTTTNTATTGCAGGAAAACCGACACATGTTTGATTTAAATGAAGATCAGAACTCATTACATGATTCATTTAAGTAGTTTGAGTTCTTTAAAAGTTAGAACGTGTGTGGTTTAGGAAAATTTTTACATGTTTTATTTTTCTAAAGACATTGACTTCAATTTTAAGCAACTTTTTGTTTGTTCGATTTGTTTGTTGGGTTCTCGGTGACAACAAAGGACTTGAGTTTTTTCAGAAATTATCCCGCTTGTTTTATTAAAGTTGTGGAATTTATTAAATTCACGCGTGATGAGTTTGGCAGTAGTAACTTTAATAGTAGTAACTTGAGCATATATTGTTATATCTAATATCATAAAGTTTCTTGGTCAAGAGAAACAACCAGTGAAGAAAGGAAAATTATTTGTTGTAACTAAATGTGTTGCCTCTCTGTCTGCAAGCTTTCCTATTTGCAATTGTTGTAACTAAATGTGCTGCCTCTGTCTTCAAGCTTTGTTATTTGCCTGATGATGATAATTCACAAGGTGATTACAGCTCAACTTATTTTGTCATATAAATTATAAGTATTATACAAATAGTCACTCAAAATTTACCAACAAGTCACATTTAGGCAACACAAGTTTAATATTCCATAACCAAAGTTCAAAGTTCACAGCAAAAGCACTCAATAATCAAAATTCAGACACCAAATGCACTACAATACAAGGTACAACAAACCCTAACAACAAATCGATCACTCTATAATCAAATAAACAAACAAATCGCCAGAAGAAAGAAAAAATCTATCTCCCAAACCCAAAACGATGTCGTCTCACAGTAACCTGTCGGTGGCCATCAGCGACACCCCTTTTCTTGGCTACCGGTCCTACTTCCGTCCCCACAGCCGGTTCGTACGCCGTCCCCTAGCCTCGGCGGCACCGCCCGCTTCCTCTGCTGCGGCCACGCAAGCCCTCAGTCCGCGTTCACGAGCCCTTTGATTTGTGATTCCTTATTTTGGAACCAATTTTATTTTGCAGCATCAAAAGAAGAAAGAACTCAATTTGAACAAATCTTTGAAAACCCTAAAATTGGTGGGAAAATTAGAACAGAAAATGGAGAGAGAAGAGAGAAGAAGTATACGGTAAAAAATGGGGACGGTTTGGGGGAATTAGAATAGGAAAAATGGAGAGAGATAATGCAAATACGAAATTAATAAGAGATATAAGTGACGTGGGTTGACACATCAGGGAGTACTCCATACGGTGGGAATTTAGATGGGGCAAGAAGCATTTTTCGATAAAAATTTTAAGGCTATTAATGTAAATTCTATAGTTGTTACATGACAAAAAAAAAATATTCATATATCAAACATAAACTATTAATAAATGTCAAATAAACATTGAAATCTTCCAAAACATAAAGAAATCAAAACATGTGAAAAAAATCTCAAAAAGACTAAAACACGCCACCCGCTGCACGATTCACAAATAAAACGCTGTGGATCACCCCAAGCCTTCAACAACCATCAATCGACCTGGTGCCATTAACCTGTAGACAGTCCGGTCAAACTAGTCATCGGACATCGCTTGACAGCCATCGAATCGAGTTAGCGACAAGAACTCTGCCATCGATGAACGCCAGTTCGCTAATGTCCGCTTCACTCCTTGTCATCGGGTTTAGTGTCAGATTTGCAATCGCTAAAGATCACATGTCAATCGACTGCCATTCACGACTTGTCTCCCAGTCACCACCTCGTCATCCACTGTCGGTTGGTGAAACCTTCTGTCGCGCTGCGTCGCAGTCGGTTGTAAATCCCCAAATTCGAGTCGCCGCCGCCACGATTCATCAATTATTTCTAGTGGTGTGGTGTGTCAAGAAACATAATTGAAAAGAAGAATTTAGTTGGATTTATGTTTGTGGTGGTGTCCGTGTATGTGTTTGTCATGCATAGAAATTGAAAGAGAAGAAAGAATGAAAGGAGAAGGGGGAAAAAATCTGGAAGAATGAGAAGAGATGGGAAAATGACTTGAAAAGAAAAAAGGAATGAAAAGAAAAAAGAAGATAAAAATGTTGGAATAATTGCAATAAAAGGGTGATGGTATAATTTGCAAATAAAAAATATAATTAGATATATATATATATATATATATATATATATATGCAAATAAAAGTAATTTTAACTATAAATGAGGTAATTTTCTATATAAAGTACCACACATAACAAGGCCACAGTTGGGGTTATTAAATCGAGTAAATTACAATTTCAGTTATGTATGTTTCACTCTCCTAACTTTTCCGTCCTCTTCGAATTGTGTTTTTTATTTTTGTCTAGTATGTTTGCAAAATGGTTACACAAAGGTCATTTTCATACATAAGCGACGAAATTAGAAACTTTTTTGCAAAACATAAAGGACTTTTTTGTTGCGAAAATAACGTTTTTGTAACCTTTTTGCAAACATACGGGACGAAAATAAAAACGCAATTAAAAAAGGACGAAAAAATTAGAGTACTGAAACATAAATGACTAAAATTACAATTTACTCTATTAAATCAAACTCAATCTCATTTTTCAACCAAAAAGGGCAGTATCATCTTGACTTTCTACCGAGACTTTTCTTCGCCCAAATCCCGTAACCCTAGCACCCCTCTCAACTGTTTCGCTTTCCTTCCACGGCGGCGGTGCGGCGCCGGCCAGTGGTCGCGCTCGACCGCCGCCCCTCCTCTGCTATCCCGGACCTTTGGAGTGGCTACGGAGTGCTTGCGCCAATGGGTAAGCCTTGTTCTTTTTCGCTGGCGAAGTTGCGATTGGAGGCGGCGAGCTCTTCGATCATCGATTGGTTCGCAATTGATGGCGTTAGTTGCTCGCTGGTCGTGATTGGAGGTGAGTACTCCTTCATTTCCTTCTTTTGTTCCTATTTCTGTACCTTTTGCGCGAATGAAGGGCCTATCGGCCGCTCCCGTTTTCCAACGGGTCTCCGTTCGGGGTTTTCCTATAATGGTGCCTGTGGTTTGTGGTGCTTCGACTGGTTGTGGGTCGAGAGGTGGGGTGGGGCTCTGACGGGGTGTCGGATCTGAGGGCCTGGGCCGCCCCCCCCCCNCCTGAGCCCCCCCCCTGTTTCGTCTAGTGGTGTTAGACGGCAGGAATCTGGTGCTCCGACGCTCGGCTAGTGGTGTTAGGCGTGCTCGTGAAGTGCTAAAGTGGGTGCGAGTTCGGTTATCCTTCCGGTTGAGGCGGGTCGTTTTGGAGTTCAGTTTGTGTTTGGGCTCGACTTCTTGTATAGGCCTTGTGGCAGTTTCGGGAGCCGTCCCCTGGACTTAGATTATCCTTTGATATCGACTGTTCTTCGCTGGTTCGAGCTGGCTGATCTGCTGTGGAAAGGCCTTTTATTTAGATGTGTTTTTTCCTTCTTTTTTGGTAGTAGTTTAGTTTGTTGTTCTTGTTTTGTGTGTTAGTATATGTGTTTGTGCTTGTCGTTGTGTTTTAGGTTTGGGCCGTTGGCCTCTGTGCGCCCGAGTGTCACTTTATTACTCTGTGGGGGTCCGACACTCGGGTATTACCCTGTGGGGGTCTTTTTGTTGTTGTTTTTTGTGTCTTTTAGTGTTCTTGAGTATTACCCCGTGGGGGTCGGTTTTAGGCGGTCTTTTGACCTGTCCTCCCATTTTTCAGCTATTGGTTGCTTGTATTCAGCTATTAGCTGCTTGTAATCAGCTGGTAGTTGCTCTTAGCACATTTGTGCGTTTTATATAATATCTCTATCGTTTCGTTAAAAAAAAGTATGAATGCATTTATTTTTTTTTGAAAAAAAAAGTTATACCCACCCAACGATTAACATCTATAGTCAATTTTGGGGTAAGATGTCACTAACTTGAACGGGTCACGCGGATTAACTCATTGGGTCCGAGTGAGCACCCGACCCGCATCACAAACCCTCTCAGACTCGGTTGATTTTATCATTTCGGTATCCCTTCGCAGTTCTCTCCCCTCTCCATCTCTGCTGCTTCAACATTTTCTCTACCGACATTGTAACGATTGAAATCAATCCGACTTCCGGACAAGACCTGTAATCTCCCTCCTCAAACGATGTCGTACGAAGAGGACGAGGAAGCATTCGATCACGCGCTCCTCGTCGTCCGCGAGGTCTCCGTGTTCAAGATCCCTCCCCGCCCCACCAGCGGCGGCTACAAGTGCGGAGAGTGGCTCCAGTCCGATAAGATCTGGACCGGACGCCTCCGGGTCGTCTTCTGCAACTCGCGCTGCGAGATCCGCCTCGAGGACCCCAGCTCCGGCGACCTCTTCGCCGCCTGCTTCGTCAACCCGGGCCAGAGGGAGATCGCCGTCGAGCCGGCGCTGGGCTCCTCCAGGTACTTCGTGCTGAGGATCGAGGACGGGCGTGGGAAGCACGCGTTCATAGGGCTTGGGTTCAATGAGAGGAACGAGGCGTTCGATTTCAATGTGGCGCTGTCGGATCACGAGAAGTACGTCAAGAGGGAGGTAGAGAAGGAGGCGGGAGGCTCCGGCGCCGTGGAAGGTGGAGAGGACGGGCAGATCGATATTCATCCCGCCGTGCACCATAGACTTAAGGTGATTTTATCTGCTTCTCTTTTTCAACGTTGAAGACCCATCTGTTACATTATTCTTGTCTTTCTGAGGAAGTTAAGCGATGTTCTGTTTCGTGCCAAACTTTCTAATTGATCGCTTTGTATGATACGTATCTTATTTCTACCTTCGAAATCAATCTTTTATTTTATGGTTATAGTTCAGCAGAAAGTTCAGGTTGAGATCTTTGGAAAACCTGCTAAATCTGAGGTTTGATATTACAGGATTCTTGTAAAGCAATTTTAGAAAGAAGTTTCAAATATGATGATTTTTTACTTTTACACTAGTCTTTGCTTCAGCACTCTATTACTACAGATAGTGAGTGAGCATTCAAATCACTTTCTTGTTTTGATGGATCCTTTTGGGTAATTTATCAAGTTTGAGCTTGTGATGTCCGATGATGCAGTGATTGCAGCAATAAATTATTAAATATTGTCCTAGTGATGATCTTTTTGATAATTTTGGAATGGTGATGGTTCTTTTTTTTTTTTAGCTGTTTCGTTATCTTAGCATTGTAATTAAAGGTCCCATTTTTGTTTCGTCATGTCGTAAGTTACTTTCTTTTTTCCTTCATCTTGCTTAACCACGGTTATCTTCAATTTGACAAATTTTCCTCAACCTATAACGAAATTGAACTAACTTTCTCCACTTCATGCAATGCTTAGGAAGGTGAAACAATTCGAATAAATGTAAAGAATAAGCCATCTAGTGGGCAGGCATGCTATCTGCTGCTGGAAAATCCAAAACTTTAAGCCTTGCTTCGCCACCAAACACGGCCATGAAAATAAGGTCCCCTCTTCCTCCTCCGCCCAATGATCCTGCTGCTGCTAGAATGAATTCAACCAATCATGGTGGTGGTTTGAACAGAGCCAAAGATAACTCGAGCAACTGCAGTGATTTTCTTTCTGATCTTTCTCAACTCAAGGTATGTCAGTTTACAGATTTTGTTTTCTAAACTAGCACCATATATTATCCATAGTTTTTTTCTCTTTATTTAAATATATCAATGTGAAAAGTTTGCAAAAGTTTGCAGTTGGTGTTTTCTGAGTATGGCCTTCTGCAGTATCATTTTTCCACAAGTATTCTGATCTATTAATGCTTGTGAATTACGAATATATTGGTAATGAATACCTTTGGTAGGTAGCTTACCATTGATTTGGAAAAGATGATGAAAATTCAGACTATCTGTTAGATTGTTTACTGATTTAATTTGGAAAAGACAATGAGCATCTAGGTCTGCAGGAACAGTAAAATTTTCTTTTTATGCATATGGCAATATCATAATAACATCTGCTGTATAAACCTTTGTTTGATTGCTGTATGCCCATAAGTGCTATGTACATAAAGTTTCTAACTACATTCCTGAAGTTTTTTGTTTTTTATTTTTTTATTTTTTTTCCCTTATGCAAACCTCAAACTAAACTATTAATGTGTGTTTCCATAATTTGTAGGCGTGGCCTAGATCCAACGCCATCTTCCCTTTGACCCTCATGATGATGATTTAACTCATCATCTTTACTCTGATGGGCCCTTCATTGCTGCATTTACTATCGGCCGTACTATTTCGACATGGACCATGCGCATTATACTTACCAGACCAAGTTACTTCTCTAAAGTTGACTACCGTACTCAATGGAATCTCAGAGTTAGGGACAAAATATATGTAACGGTAATCGGAGAGGGCAAGAAGAAGGGCGTCAAGTATTGGGTGTATCTGAACAACCTAGGTGCTGCGTGGGGACGTAATGGCAGAGAGATGGTAGCCAAGAGGATGGTGAGGAGGCTTATGTCTTATTCTTGCTCGTCATGCTTAGGCGTTTCTAATTTTATTTTCAATAATTGTAATAGATTTGGACTAAATTTGATTTCTCTCTCTTGTGAACAATTTGATTTCTATCTCTCTTGTGAACATGAATGGTAATAGATTTGGTAAGTTACCATGGTGGTGTTTATAATAAATTGTCCAAACATACCAAATCTATTACAATTCATGTTCACAAGAGAGATAGAAATCAAATTGTTCACAAGAGAGAGAAATCAAATCCAAATAACTTACCAAATCTATTACAATTATTGAAAATAAAATTGGAAACGGCTAAGCATGACGAGCAAGAATAGGGACATAAGCCTCCTCGACCATCCTCTTGGCTACCACCTCTGCCATTACGTCCCCACGCAGCACCTAGGTTGTTCAGATACACCCAATACTTGACGCCCTTTTTCTTGCCCTCTCCGATCACCGTTACATATATTTTGTCCCTAACTCTGAGATTCCACTGAGTACGGTAGTCATCTTCAGGGAAGTAACGGGTCTGGTAAATATCATTTGCATGGTCCATGTCGAAATAGTACGGCCTGACAGTAAATGCAGCAATGAAGGGCCCACCCGAGTAGAGATTTTCGATTTGTCTTTGTCTTCACCAGCCGTTGATTTCTCACTCTTCGTTTGTGGTGGTGGTAAAGATACCGAGTGCCTTAATTTTACTGTGCTGCTACAAATATCTTCATTTGTACTATTTTGGCCAAATTTTGTGGAAGACATCAGTTGACTTCCATTGCTTGCATTTTTATTTTTCTTGGACATGTCAATTACCTAAGTGAAGAAAAGCAAAAAAAAATTGAAATCGAAACATAATGATCACAAAGATGGAGTTGGCAAATCAGGAGACGAAGAGCCTCGAATGCATAAACTTGTTACAGAAGTAATAGAAGTTAAACTAAATTTAAGATTTCTAACTATATTAAATGATTATATAAGAATTTGTCTAAGCCCCTTTTTTTTTACTAAAAGATTCTTGTTCATATACCCATTAGTTAAACTATGTCCTCAATTTGTCTCAAACTTCTGTTTAGTCCCCGCTTGTTCATGTAGAATATTTGGTTTGTGAATATCAAAAAGACGGCTTAAGGAGAATGAAGAAAACGAAACAAAAATCAAAGTCGATGAACGTAATAATTACGTTCTCCTTATGATGAAATTGTCCCGTCAAATACCCACGGTTAACGGCAAACGTCTCTAAGATACAACGACTTTCGACCTGTATATAGCGATACTTCAAATATGCAAGCCTTCGGCGAACAATACTATTGTTTGGAACTGTCAAGACTCAATAAAAAATCAAAGAACAGAATATGATTTATGAACTTTGAAAATAAAATGCAAGAGCTCTTGAAAATTTTATTGTTTGACTATTTCATTGAATATCAACATCATTCATATGTGGCTTAAAACTACAAAAGCTTTAAGACAATATATTGTCCATTTTTACAATATATTTTCAACTCGAGTTTGCACAAACTCTTAAATCACATTTACCGGTGTGACTTATCTCGAGAGGACTAGTCAATTAAGCAACCATTTCGTACGATGCTTTTGTCATTTTTTCATTTTAACACAATTTTCATATTTGTTGTATGAATCAATTCTAGATTCACCAACTTCTAGTGTTAAAATTCACAAGTCTCAATTTATTATGCCATAAATTAGAACACTCAATAAATAAGACCAACTTATTTATCTTTTCGTCAACCAATAGATGACAATTTTTACAATAATTGTAAGATGACCTTTATTAAGGTCTACTTATGCTAAGAATACATCATATTTCGACGTAACATATTTGTTGATAATCATGAACTAATCTAAAACCGGTCTTACTCAATTAATGGTGAGAAAACTAGATTCTTATGATATCTTGGGCATGAAGAACATCCACGATCTCCAATATTCATTCTTAGCACACCAACTTGTTGGTTCCTTCAACACTTGAAGTCGAAAAGTTCCACAAATACTTCCTTCCATAGTTAAGGTTGTAGGACAACATTTATAAGCGCCTATGGGTCAAGTGACTCTTGTTCTTATCCGCTATAAACGTGAAATTTTAATCAAATATGTACTCGAACCACGACGGAAAGATCGAGCTCTGACAAGTATTATCTTGTCCTCGACAATTCGCACTATCCTTTACCCCTCTTTAGAAGTTAGTAATCTTCGACAAGGTACCCGGGTTTGTCAACATCGTAACGACATCCCTTGGATTTCTTGGCGTCCATCGTTTTTACGCTTCTTTCACGAGCTCGGCTCGGCCAAATTTTCCTTAGCCTCTAGCTCGCTCCATTTGGCCAATACTTCAGATTTTCAATTACTTTATTTTATCAGAAGACTATCTATCAAATCCTCAGTTTCATCTCTTTGCATCTATGCATGAGATAACTCTTGAAACAAATATTCCACAAAGGAGACAACTTTTCGACAATAGCCGTCACTTGAAAAAAGTTGAGCTAAGCTCGCTAAAATTGTGCTAAGATAAATTATTCTCGCGAGTATGGTGGTGCCAAGTACTTTACAAGAAAAAAATAAAATAAACAAGGAAAAAGAGAGGTAAAAGATAATAAAAAAAAATTAATTAGTACTCAAGAATCACAATTCAATAACCTCACTCATCGACATAATGCCAAAACTTGACCGCGCGTCACGACGCGAAAAATTAAAATTTTTTATTTCTCCTTGACTAATCTATACTGACTAGTATTAACGACAATTAAGGGTCGATCCCACGAGGAGTATGAATGAAATAATGATATTTCTCGTATTAATTGAAATTACGAAAGCAATAAAAGAGGGGGAGAGGAGAGGTTGAGATATAACGACTAACCTAACTAAAATCCTAATAAAACAAATAAAATCTAAACAATAAAATAAAATAAACTAAGAGAAATTTATAGTTCACGGTTCCGTCTACGTCTCGCCCGACTAGTCTAATTAATTGTGACGTCAAGTTTCACTATATTTTGAAATTACTAGCCCTAGGCAACAACACGCTCTGGTATGTGAATTTTTCCATACAATATATTTATCCGAAACACGCTCCTCTGTTAAACTTAACTACATTATAGTCTAGAACACGCAACTTTAGGATCTAAGAAAATAGGCTAAACTAAGTAGTAGACTCACACGCTCGGTCTACTTAGTTAGATCGTGTTATTCCCGACAGTTTTCGGCTATCGTTTGCTACTAACGAATTAAACGCAACAACAATTACGGATTGACTGTTTAATTCTAGCATTAGACGTGAAAAATATCATCTAGGTGATCAGTCTAAATAATATCAAACATATCATGGTTTATTAAGCAAAACTAAACAAGCAATTTCATAGAAACATAGTCAAGTACGTAGGATTCGATATCTGCGAAACTAGAAACAAAAACTAGTCTAACATATATAAATAATAAGAGAACGAGAAGAATATAATTATCCCTCGTGTGCGGTTGCGGTTTCTCACTGCGATTAACATGCTTCTTAGTATTTGTCCGTGCGATTTTTTTTTTTCTCAATTACTACGTGTTTTCTTCTCCTTTGTTTGCTCTTTCAACGGCTGCGTGATGGGGTCTCCCATTTTACTTTTTTCCTTGGCCTGTTCCCTCAAAGTGTACTCCAGTGTGCGTGAGTCATCTCCTTTCTAAATGAAATTAGCACATTAACCAATAGCCAAAATTCTCTGTGTGGGATGCAGGACAAATGTTACAATGTCTTGGCCCAATTGTTCCAGTAAACAACATCTTTTATCTACAAGGCTGATATCAATTTTTAGGCCATTTTTTTTTTAAATACATCCACCCTCTGGGGGACCAAAACTAGGCAGGTGTTGGGCGAACTCAGGCTGGTATGGGATACCCCCATACTCTGTCGACTGAAATTTCATTTAATGTCTCGCCGTCCATGAAATTACTCCAATTGTCTGAAAATAAATCATAAATATATCATTAGCACTTCAATTCATCTAGTAAATAAAATAAGTCAAAAAACATATGTGACAAAATTAAGCATATGAAAATACAAGAATAAATATATAAAATACTCAATTTTTCCGACCACTCACATATCCTCCTTAGATCGGTCACTACTCTGAAGTCGTTGTTGGTCTAGGACCCAATTACTCTGTCCCCTCAACTTTGTTGTCGAGGAAGAGCTAATCGATCTATATATTGTCGAAGGTGAGCTAATGTATGAATAAAAAAAAAAAAATTATACAGTGAGAAGATGCAAAATGTTAGTATTTAGATAGAGTTATTTGAGAGAATTTAGGAGACAAAGCAACGGGGTTGAAAAAATCTCTCGGAGGGTCAGTCATACCGTCCTTCGTTTTAATCAAGATAATCTTGCAGGAAAGGTCATTACGAGATACTTTTAGATGAGGTTTTGTATGTGGAGGTTATGAATATATTCAGAAAGAGATTCATCCGTAACTCTTGATGGTCACTTTCTTTCTAACGCCATTTTGTTAATGTCAGATGTCAACCACAATTAAATGGGAGGATTTATAGGTTATTAAAGTGATTAGGGATAAAAAATAATTGTTGAAGGGGATATTAAATTGGTTTCACGATTACAAATAAGGGTTTAGCACCATATAAGAGAAATAAGCTAGGACAAAGACACTGCCAATTGCCTTTAAGGAGGTCGACATAAAAGATAAAAGAGAGTGCGTAATAGTGTTGTATTAGTGAATTCGCGATGCTCATTATGATGCCTGAAGGGATGTATTTATATGCGAAGGCCATTTTCTACATTTATTCCTCGGAATATGTTTTGACGTACGTACTTGACCAAAACGAAGTGTTTTGGATTCAATTTTCGTTTAAAATGTGTACTGAATTTGATTTTTACCATGTTTACCTAAGGAAATTCGATCGACAGTTTCAACATCATAACTCACCACTTTAAATTCCATCACAACACGACAGAAACTAATTAAACAGGTAACCTAATATCTTACATTCATATGGTAGAGCTCATGAAACAGGTCCGGACTTATTATATTTCCGGACAAAATGATGATATGGTAAGTAATATAACAGCCTCTAGCTATAGTACAGCTCATTAGACAAGCGTGGTGTAATAACCATTTCCAATGGAGTCGCCTTAGACAAGGTAATACCCGTCCCCTCACTCATATCCACCGGCTCGTCTAATCCCGTTTTAATCTCAAACCCTTGTATGAAACGAGCCAGCACCAAGTGGGCCACCTGCATGGCACCTGGGCACGACCTCCTTCCCGACCCAAATGGTATAAACTCGTAGAATTGACCATTGAAGTCAACTCCCGCGTGGCCCGCCAAAAAGCGCTCGGGAAGAAACTCTTCGGGCCCGGCCTAAATGCGCGGATCTCGATGCAGCTTCCAGAGGTTGACTATGATCCACGTGCCTTTTGGTATTTTGTATTCCATTATGCGGCAATCTTGGGAGGCCTCGAGTGGTACGGATATGGGGCCTGGTGGGTAGAGTCGTAGGGATTCTTTGATTACGGCTTGGAGATAGGGTAGGTTGTGAATGTCCGATTCTTGGACCCATCGGTTTTTGCCGATTTTCGTGTCGATTTCGTGTCGAGCCCGTTGCATGACACTGGGGTGGTTTAGTAGTAGGGAGAGAATCCATGTCAGGTGGATTGATGTGGTGTCTGAGCCTGCTAAGATGAGGTTCTTCAAGGAAAGATATGTGTGGAATAGTTAGATCAAAGGCTTCACGGATTCGTGTTGTATATGTTTGTTATAATAAAACACCAAATGTAGTATAGTAAGCAGAGAGCTAGAAATGAATTTGGTTCCAAATACTTTTTTGGGAGACAACTTTTTGCTGAAGGAAAAACTCAAACCAAATTAATTATACTTAAAATTTAACTCAACTTTAACTCAACTTCACTATCCTCAATATTATCAATATAATTAAATAATAACAACCTATCAATAAATAATAACAACCTATCATTTTTACACGTTATATCAATTTTAATTCACTATTCATCTACTCACATAATTTTAACTAACTCACTTCATATCACCTCTATTCTACTTTTACATCAACCTAATTTTAATTATTTTATTTTAAATATTATTTTAATATAAACTCAAAATCCCACTAACAACTAACTACACCACGTTTTTCTAAATTAACCCTAGCTAACTCAAAAAAATACACTTTGAGTTAATTCACTCAAATTATTCTAACAAACACACCCTATGGTTTATGGATGAAGTTTGTGATGAATTATGTCGTTGGTTTTACCATTTTGGTGCTTCTGTTTCTTGTAATTATTCATCGAGAACAAATATTTTTTAGGAAAGCTCTGATAATTTGGGCACAGATAAATCTGTATTTAAGAACCTCCATTCAAAATAGTTCACAGCTTTAGCATGCTTGGATACAAAATTTCTCAAGAAAAATCCAAACATTTTTAACTCAACCAATTTTTCAACTCAACTTTAACTCAACCCCACTATTATCAATATTATCAATATAATTAAATAATATCAAGATCAAAGAACTGACCATACCAACTTTTTCAAAATTAACCAATCCAAACAAAAATTGCAATTTTGTTACTGTGATAAACGAGACTCGTCAATGAACCAAATTTACTTTGGAAAAGGGTCATTTGACCATAAATAAAAGTAGGGCCCTGCTTTGTCTGACAATTTAGACTCTTCAGATCTTATTATAACAATAGAACATATTAACATATATATTTTAGCCAGAATTGCAATTTTAGTCCTGTTGGTTTGATCCAGTGACGTTTTTAGTCCTAAAAATTGAACATTTTGCTAATTGGTCCCTATAATTTAAAATTCAACGCAATTTCAGCCATTTGTGCAACAGAATTTAAAATTACAAGACTTAAATTGCTAATAAAAGATTTATTAGCAATTTAAGTCCTGTAATTTTAAATTTTGTTGCAATTTCAGTTCCAAAGGACTGAAATTGCAGCAAAATACTAAATTATAGGATCAAAAAGACAAAACAGAAATGACCACCAATATCAAGTTGCACGAAAATGACCACCAATATCAAGTTGCACGAAAAACTAGGAATAATTATAAAACAGAAACAGAAAGAAAAACTTGTGGATAAAAAAGCAGTTAAAAACATACCTGTATAGTCGTCTTAATAATCGTTTCCTTAGCATGCCCGTAATTCAAGAGCCTATCATCAATCTCCGAAAGCATCACATCAATAAAATCCCGCTCGTCATCGCTCTTTCCCCCCTTCTCCAAATGCTCGTCGACCCACCTTCCCGTGACAACATCCAACTCCTCCGAAATCCTCCTCATTGCCTTGACGTGTCCCCCGAAATCCACCCACCTCAGGGGCAAAAACGGAATTGCATCCGACAACACAAACTGACCCGACACGTACATAAACTCCTTGATCACCTCTCTAAACAGCGCGCACTCTCCACACTCTCCGTGTATCGTCTTCTGGTTATCATCTTCACGATCACGTCCAAACTCAACTCCTCAAACCACTTGCTAATGACGAAATTGCCCCCGGCGTGAAGTGTTAGAGTAGAATACCCGATGTTCCAATCTGATTGGATCTTTTTCTACTTTTAAAGACAATTTATTGGAAATTATATTATTTTGAGGCATAGCTTTATCTTATGTATTTGCATTTATCTTATATTTGCACATATGATAAAGTCCTTAGATCATTATTAGCTATGAGGCATGATTGCGCATTTGATGGCAATCATGGAACATGTCTTTAAAGATGTGATCTTAAATAAGTTTCAAGTCGATGGGTGTTTCGAGACAGGACATCGAATAACCCGGTAAGACTTGTGCATATGATGTATGCTCATCGGATGAGAATGTTGCATTCCATCAACATTAGCGTGTAGACGCGAATGCATATATGCGGGTGTTGTTGGAGAACAAGTTCACTGAACATGACCCGATGAAAATTCTTAACTGGAAGTGTTAACTGTCGAATAAGAATTTTCATGTTGCAATAGTACATGATTGATCCTCTGACTTGAGGAACAATAGTAATCTTGTGAATATTGTGTTTTACTTTAATTTATCCTTTGATTGCTTGACAATCATAATAGAGATTTTTTGGATAATGTATTAATATGTATGGAGGTTTATCTGTGGCCAACAAAGAATTCAATACTTATGTGGATAAGTGAATTTCCTATGTTTTTCATAGTTTGTGATTCAAAGACCTTGGCCAAAGCAGGATGAATATGGATTCATAAAGGAATCGCTAAACTTGAAATAGAATCATAGTTATTAAATCAATTGGGTTTCGACTTATAAATCCATGCCCAAGATTTAATCAGAAAATTAGTTGTCGAAAGAATTTTACATGTATGCACTTGCAATTGAAAAGGTTTACTCGCTATTTCACTTAATATTAGATAATCATGCTACTTGCTAGGTGTTCCCATGATTTGTTGGTTCTTGAAATTAAGGAGTTAATTTCAAGAATTTAAATTACAATCAAGTTGTAAACCCACTACTAGTGTTAATTGTGAACCTAAAAGGGTCACACCAAATTTTGGATGATGACAATTTGGAAATTGGTATTTCCAATAGTTGGATTAATTGACAAGTCCTAATTAAATATTTGATTATTTAATTAAAATCTAATTTTGATTAGATGTCAATTAAAGGAATAAAATAAATTAATCAATTGGATTGATTAATTAGGCTTTGGATATTAATTAAGTAATTATTTGAATTACTAAATTAATAGTTGGATTTTAAAATTGGACTTTAAAATTCAAAATCCAAATATTAATATGATTATATATTAAAAGCCTACATAAAAGAGGAGATTTTATTTTACATGGGAGATAAGATTTTGACCAATTAATTTAGAAAGTTGGTTTTATAAATTATGGGTCATTATCTTTAATTATCTTTAATTAAGATTAAGGATTTAAAATAAAAAANACTATGTTAGGTGTGAGTTGTTGTCCGCTCCACCTCACAATTCACAATAATGTTACACTTTTATTATATATATATAGAGTTGGGATCACATGAGAATGGTAGAGAATGAAAGAAATAAGAATAAATATGGACCATGGGATCAATCATATCAATGGGTGTGATGAAGTCAAACTATGGTCAATCATTAATGGCATTCTAGTAATTAATTGATCACATTGTAGTCAAATATGTATATTTGACCAATAATTAAGGGTAAGATGGTCAATACACTTATAATCATGTGCAAGAAGACATTTTGAAGAAAATAAGACATTAAAAAAAATTGGAAACAAGAAGACTATAATAATGGAAGAAGAATGAGATATGTGTGTAGTTGCTTCTTGAAGTGTGATTTATAAATAGAGAAATGAATTCACATGCAAAACAAGTATAGTAACTATAAAAAGGAATCTAATGCAAAAGAAATCAATGCCAATTAATTGTTTATTCATTTGTCATCCAATTGAAAATAATCCAATGCTGCAAAGTAATAATGTAAGGTAATAATGTTTCACATGGCCTTGTCCGAAATTATTGCATTTGGCATTGTATTGGTCAGATTTGTTCACTTCACATGGTCTTATCCGGAAAGAATCCAATGGTTAGATGTACCATTTGTCATTGTCCAACAATAATGTAGAGTAATAATGTTTCATATAGCCTTGTCAAAAAATATTGCACTTGGCATTGTGTTGGTCAAATTTGTTCACTTCACATAGTCTTATCTGGAAAAATTTCAATGGTTAGATGTACCATTTGTCATTGTCCAACAATAATGTAGAGTAACAATGTTTCACATGGCCTTATCAGAAATTATTGCACTTGGCATTGTGTTGGTCAAATTTGTTCACTTCACATGGTTTTATCTCGAAAGAATACAATGGTTAGATGTACCATTTGTCATTGTCCAACAATAATATAGAGTAATAATGTTTCACATGGTCTTATCGGAAAGAATCCAATGGTTAGATGTACCATTTATGATGCAGTGTATAATTTTATGATTTTGATTTAAATTTATTAGTTAATCTTATTAATCAAATATATATACATAAATATGTAAATTTTAGCAAGCATAATGCAATAAAATGTAATTTGTAGAGATTATTTAATAAATTAATAAAATTAGAAAAGAATATGTTTGGAATATTCTTTTAGAGGGAGTTATAGAGGAAATGAGTTGGAGTTGCTGGCACTCTTAAAACTGTAAAACTAGTGGTATTTCAATGTAGAAACTGTAAAGATAAAGAGTATGGTTGGAGATGCTCTTAGTCTGATAATAGATGGAACCAAATGAGTTATTAATGTTTATGAGCCCATATCCATCACATAAAAAATAATCAAACATGGTTTTTATTATCAGATGGAACCAAATGAGTTATTAATGTTTATGAGCCCATATCCATCACATAAAAAATAATCAAACATGGTTTTTTGGGGTATAAATCGGCTAATCTCCATAAATAAAGTATTAAAAAGTCTCTAAAAGTTGAAATTGAATACACCCCCGCTTAACCTTTTAAAAATTGAAATTTTACATAAGGGATAAGACATGCCACCCACTGCACGATCCACAAATAAAAAGCCATGGATCACCCCAAGCCTTCCGCAGCCATCAATCGACCCGGTGAGGCATATCCACCCACGTCTGTCGCTTCGGGAAGATAGGGCCATCATCATTAACCTTTAGACAATCCGGTCGAACCAGTTATCGGCCATCGCTTGATAGCCATCGAATCGAGTTTGCAACAAGAACTCTGACATCGATGAATGCTAGATCGCTAATGTTCGCTTCACTCTTTGTTGTCGGGTTTAGTGTCAAATTGGCAATCGCTAATTATCACATGTCAATCGACTACCATTTACGACTCATCGCCTAATAGCCACCTCGTCATCCACTTTCGGTTGGTGAAACCTTTTGTCGCGTCCGTAGGTAGAGTGGGAAAATAGACTAATGTTGTGGACTAATGAAGCGGTTGGGCGCACGGTAAGCTAGCCTATTCCTCTCCGAGGTACTATAAATATGGTATAAAAACCACCAGTCGGTTGTAAATCACCAAATTCGAGTCGCCGCTACCATGATTCTTCAATTACTTCGAGAGGTGTGGTGTGTCGAGAAACATAATTGAAAAGAAGACTTTAATTGGATTTATGTTTCTGGTGGTGTCCGTGTATGTGTTTGTCATGCATAGAAATTGGAAGAGAAAAAAGAATGAAAGTAGAAGACGAGAGAAAAACTGGAAGAATGAGAAGAGATGGGAAAATGACCGGAAAAGAAAAAAAGAATGAAAAGAAAAAGAAGAAGATACAGAACATTGGACCCCACTTCATATGAATATTATGTACACATCTATGTACATTTATTATGTACATATAGTATTTTCAAAATATAAATGTATTTTTTCTTTAAAAAAAAGTTGTACCCACCCAACGATTAACATCTATAGTCAATTTTTGGGTAAAATGTCACTGAGGTTAACGGGTCACGCGGATTAACCCCATTAGGTCCGAGTGAGCACCCGACCCGCGTCGCAAACCCTCTCAGTTGATTTTATCATTTCGGAGAAAAGTGTATTTTTCGTCCTGTAAGTTTACCCCCTCTGAATAATTTAGTCCTCTTCGAATAGCCAATTTGAGTTTCGTCCTCTAACTTTAAAAAAAGGTTGCAGATTCGTCCCCGACTCGCCGGAAACCCGTTAATTGGCCGGAAACACGCACGTGATGGAAATTAACGGCTCTTTAAGCCTACGTGGAGCCGGATTTCCCACACTGGCGACCTTATTTACACGTGGAGGACGGAAAATAAACGAAAAAAAAAATTCCACGCATCGAAACACGTAGATTAGGAGGGAAAAACAATGAAAAGGCACGAAACCTGAACAGACATCCCACTTCTTCCCACAATCTCATCGCTTTCCCAAATCCAAATTCTCTCTGGAAAAAAAACCCTCAATCGTTCCCAAGTCCTAAAGCCAAAAAAACCGAAATCTCAAAATCAAGTATTGAGAAGCAAGAATTCAAATGATTCCTGAGAAGGTGTTCATCCGGAAGAAGATTCGTATGCACAATGGACCTCCCACATATGTTCAGTGATATTTTTTTTGTTTGTTTATGGAAAATTCATGCAACGGAATGTTCATTTTTTTATGAAGATCCCTAAATTCGAGGTGAAAATGGTTCATTTTTTAAAGTTCGTACAATTAAAATGAAATTAGGATCTAAATTCCGTACATTGTAATGAAATTAGGTGAAGGAAAATTTCGAAGGTGAAGGAAAATTTCGAAGGTGAAGGAAAATTAGGGTTCTTGAACGAAATTGACAATTTTGAAGAACAAAATCAACAATTTTCAAAATTAGGGTTCTTGAAGATTTGGGGATCTTGTGATTTGGAAAAATAGGGTTGAAGGAGGATGAAAATGATTCAAAATTAGAAAACCCGTTTCATTTTATGCCCGGTTCTTTCCCAAGTGTTTCGGCACGTGGAAATTTTTTTTTTCGTTTATTTTCTGTCCTCCACGTGTAAATAAGGTAGCCAGCGTGGGAAATCCAGTTCCACGTAGGCTTAAAGAGCCGTTAGTTTCCATCACGTGCGTGTTTCCAGCCAATTAACGGGTTTCCGGCGAGTCGGGGACGAATCTGCAACTTTTTTTAAAGTTAGAGGACGAAACTCAAATTGGCTATTCGAAAAGGACAAAATTGTTTAAACTTACATGACGAAAAATGCACCTTTCTCTCTCATTTCGGTATCCATCTCGCAGCTCTCTCCCTCTCCATCTCTGCTGCTTCAACATTTTCTCTACCGACATTGTAACATCCGACTTCCGGACAAGACCTGTAATCTCGCTCCCAAAACGATGTCGTACGATGAGGACGAGGAGGCGTTCGAGCACACGCTCCTCGTCGTCCGCGAGGTCTCCGTGTTCAAGATCCCTCCCCGCCCCACCAGCGGCGGCTACAAGTGCGGAGAGTGGCTCCAGTCCGATAAGATCTGGACCGGACGCCTCCGAGTCGTCTCCTGTAACTCACGCTGCGAGATCCGCCTCGAGGACCCCAGCTCCGGCGACCTCTTCGCCGCCTGCTTCGTCAACCCGGGCCAGAGGGAGATCGCCGTCGAGCCGGCGCTGGATTCCTCCAGGTACTTCGTGCTGAGGATCGAGGACGGGCGTGGGAAGCACGCGTTCATAGGGCTGGGGTTCAATGAGAGGAACGAGGCGTTCGATTTCAATGTGGCGCTGTCGGATCACGAGAAGTACGTGAAGAGGGAGGTAGAGAAGGAGGCGGGAGGCGACGGCGCCGGGGAAGGTGGAGAGGATGGGCAGATCGATATTCATCCGGCCGTGCACCATAGACTTAAGGTGATTTTATCAGCTTCTCTTTTTCAACGTTGAAGACCCATCTGTTACATTATTCTTGTTTTCCTGAGGAAGTTAAGCGATGTTCTGTTTCGTGCCAAACTTTCTAATTGATCGCTTTGTATGATACGTAATTTATGTCGATCCTTATTTCTACCTTCGAAATCAATCTTTTCTTTTATGGTTATAGTTCAGCAGAAAGTTCAGGTTGAGATCTTTGTAAAACCTGCTAAATCTGAGGTTTGATACTACAGAATTCTTGTAAAGCGATTTTAGAAAGATAGAAGTCTCAAATATGATGATTTACTTTTACACTAGTCTCTGCTTCAGCAGTCTATTACTACAGATAGTGAGTGAGCCTTCAAATCACTTTCTAGTTTTGATGGATTCTTTTGGGTAGTTTATCAAGTTTGGGCCTGTGATCTCCGATGATGCAGTGATTGCAGCAATAAATATTGTACTAGTGATGATTTTTTTATAATTTTGGAATGGTGATGGTTCTCTTTTTTTAGCTGTTTCAAAGTTCCCATTTTTGTTTCGTCATGTCTTAAGTTACTTTCTTTTTTCCTTCATCTTGCTTAACCACGGTTGTCTTCAATTTGACAAATTTTCCTCAACCTATAACGAAATTGGACTAACTTCTCCACTTTACGCAATCCTTAGGAAGGCGAAACAATTCGAATAAATGTAAAGAATAAGCCATCTAGTGGGGCAGGCATGCTATCTGCTGCTGGAAAATCCAAAACTATAGGCCTTGCTTCGCCACCAAGCGCGGCCATGAAAATAAGGTCCCCTCTTCCTCCTCCGCCCAATGATCCTGCTGCTGCTAGAATGACTTCAACCAATCATGGTGGTGGTTTGAACAGAGCCAAAGATAACTCGAGCAACTCCAGTGATTTTCTTTCAGATCTTTCTCAACTCAAGGTATGTCAGATAACATATTTTGTTTTCTAAACTAGAACCATATATTATCTGTAGTTTTTTCTCTTTATTTAGACAAATCACTGCCAAAATTTCACAGTTGGTTTTTTCTGAGTATAAGCTTCGGCAATATCATTATTCCTCAAGTATTCTGATCTATCAACAACAACAACAACATACCCAGTATATTCCCAACAGGTTGGGGTCTGGGGGGTCAGTTGTACGCAGACCTTTCCCTTGTAATTATACAAGGAGGCTGTTTCCGTAGCGACCCAAGGTGCATTGCGCCGTTTGATATATATTTTTTTTTCTAAAAACTTCACTAATAGAAGAAGCACTAGAATTTAATTGAGTCATTTTGATCTAGTCCATTATTAGCACTATGCTAGGAGAATTGTCAACAATGACTCTTCCAGCTCCATTTGCAATGCTTGTGAATTACGAATATATTGGTAATGAATACCTTTGGTAGGTAGCTTACCATTGATTTGGAAAAGATGATGAAAATTCAGACTATCTGTTTGGATTTGTTTACTGATTTAATTTGGAAAAGACAATGAGCATCTAGGTCTGCCTGCTCTCGTCCACTAAAGTTTTCTTTTTATGCATGTGGCAAGATCTTAATAACATCTGCAGTATAAAACTTTTGTTTGATTGCTAACTACATTCCTGAAGTTTTAATGTGGGTAACTTAGCGTGGATTTTCAAGAAGGTGACCACTTGTTATATCATTTCATCTACAACCCAATTGTTCTGTATGGGATGAATCATCTTATGTATTGTTGTGTGTATATTTTTTGGTTTATTTTTGGCACCTTTGGCCATGTCCAAATATTGAGATTTTTTATTTTTATTTTTATTTTTTTGGGAATCTGCAGAAAGATCTTCCTTCTACTGGTGGAACAGAACCAACTAAGAGCTCTGCAGCTGGTTGGGCAGCATTTTGAGGATGGATTTACGACCTGCCCTTTTTTGTTCCTACTGATGTTGTATTTACAAATGAGAACATCAAAAATAGAAATGCCAAAAGTTGGAAATTCTAACATTTGCGTGTATCTTCCATCGGACAAATGCATACATGAAATCATAAACATTTCTTTGGTCCCCATAATATAAAGTATCATTGTCTGCTATCCCTGGTCTTTTTGTATGCTAAGATACCCTTCTTGCTTTTATTTATGTACTAGTACAACACCCGTGTATTACACCGGTGCTTGTTAAAAAAACTATTCTTAAATTATAAAATTATTTAAAAAAATTGTTTTAAAATTTAATAATTTTTACAAAAAATATATGTTATGATATAATATAAAATGACACTTGTTACTTGTGGAACTGACAAATGTTATATTACAATAACTTTTTTAACTTGTACCATATAACTACTTTAAACATAAATATATTAATTGATAAAAATTTATCTTTCTACTTAATATTAATAAATAATTTTATTGCTATTATAAAGATAAATATAATTTATATATTTTATACATACAATATGAATATCAAATCGAAACTCATAATGAGATGGTTAATTTGATATATTATATATGTAAAACCGATAAGAAATATAAATGTTATCAACTTTTAAAATATTTTTACAATTCAATGGTTATAATAGAAATTGATATTAAAATTCAATTATGCATCTAAAATTACCATAGATAATCAACTTATTTACGGATAATCCGAACCTAATTATTTTTGGATTGAAGATAAATTAAAATTTATCCAAGCCAAATAATGAAACATGGAATTTTGTCACATAGGATCACTAAGCATGCAAGTCTGCCACTTAGGCTCAGGACATTCGAGAATTATATATAAGGGGGCTTTGAGAAAGCTACGTTTAAATTTTAATCCCGGACAGAAGCACACGAAAGTATTTCAATTGAAACTTTTAAAAAAAAATTAAGACTTTTAAAGTGAGTGAATTTGGTAGAGTTTGGGAAACTTTTAATGACTTTAGTGGACATTTTGAGACTTCCATAGATTTCTTATTAGAGACTTTTTAAAACTTTCATCATGGACTTTTTGAAACTTATTAAGACTTATTTATATACTCTTAGTATAAATATTACATTTGAATGAATTGTAAATGAACCTTGCTTCATGGCTAATATTAATTAAATTAAACTATTTTTTTAAATATTAAAAGGGTAAACTGCGCCAAACCCTCTTGTGTTATAGGAAATAGGCGCGTTACTACCCCGTGTTTTAAAAAATGCATAACACCCCCTTGTATTAGAGTAACCGATGCACACGCTTACAAAAATTATAGTTAAAATAACAATATTTATTTTATTTAATTTAAATTATTTTCATCTACTTTTGTTTTTATTATTTATTTTAAATGGTATTATTTCATATTATACAATTGAATTATTCATTTTATTTCATCTTATTATATCTTAGTTATCAAATTTTATTTATTTTGATTCACTTAATACAATGATATAAAATTAAAATATATTTTACTAAATAAAATTTTGAAATTAAAATTATTTATTTCTATTTAAAATCATTTACTAAAAATAATAATTTCTTTCTAATTTTTTATATATATGGTATTGAAGAGTAATTGTACTAAAAATTATTAGATAAATAATATTTTTATTTTACTATGTTAATTTTATTTTAATTTACTATTTTATAATAAGTTAATTTATTTTACATAAACATTTTTATATTTTATTATTTTATATTATATTTTTCATGTTATTTTAACTAGTTTACTTTAATTTTTTATTTATTATTATTATTATTATTATTATTATTATTATTATTATTTAATTTGTTTTAAATTTACCTATTATATTTTTATTTTACTTTATTAATTTGTTTAGAGTTGACATAATAAATGTAGTTGTGTACAATTCTTACACAAGAATCTATATGGCCCATTGGTTTAGTGGGCAAGCTCACCTCCTTTAGACCTAGGTTCGATTTCTCCTATTAGCAAAAGATTTTAGTTTGTTCAATAAAGCACAGAAGGGTATAAAGGTAATTTATTAATTATGTAAAATAAAAAAAATATAAAATTTTCGCAGGTATAGAAGGTGTTGTGCACGCGCCGTTAAGTTGGACGGAATGGGTGAATCGTGCAACAACTACTTAAATACAAGGGGGTGTCATGCATTTTTTAAAACACAGGGTAGAAGCCGCCTATTTCGTATAACACAGGAGAGTTTGGCGTAATTTACCCAATATTAAAATAAAATGAGTTGTAATGGTATACACCAGCTATTCAACAAGAAGAAAACAAAAAAAAAATGGTTTTGCAGCATTAGCATGCCTGTCCGACTAGACCGATTGAAGCAAGGTTGGGTAAACCAAAATTTTGGTTAACCAAATTAGGTCAGTTTGAAGGTTGGGTAAACCGGTCGGTTCAGTTCGGTTTCGACCAATTGAACAACCCTAGTAAGGTGAATAAATAATTCTCTAAAAAATTTTGAATCAACTATAAAAATTTTCTTCAAATTGAATCATTCTTGAACACAATTCAACTCAGCTGAAAGCTAAAGCTCGCTCATTTGTTTTCTTAAATGAATCAAGCTTGAGCAATTAACCTGGAATTGAAGTGAGTTTGTTCACAAACCACTCAATTTTTAATTATTTATTTTTCATAAAATACGCATTCATGCCGAACTTGTTTCCAAAAAAAATTTGTTTTCACGAGAAACTCATTTAGGATTTTAGGTTTATTAAACGAGCCAAGTCGATTTGAGTTTTTGCGAGTTTCAATGAGTTGAAGAGAGCCGTAAATCCAGCAAAATCTCACCAATTTGATGAGATTTCTACAAAGACTTTGTCTTTGAATTTTATTAAAAAAGTCCTTCAATTTAAAAAGTCATATAAAAGTCTCTCTAATTTGAATACAGTGTGACTTATTGAGACTCTTAAAAAAGTTTCAGTTGAATGCACTGAGACTTTAAGAGATTTATAAAAAAATCTTTAAAAATCTCAATTGAATACATGGAAACTTTTTAGAAGTCTAAAAACATTTCAATTGAATACACTAGAATTTTGAATGTTTTAAAAAGTCTTTAAAAGTGTTAATTAAATACACCCTTCTAACTTGAATACAGTGTGACTTATTGAGACTTTTAGAAAATTTCAATTGAATATAAGACTTTTATAATTCATTAATTTTCGCTTTTCCACTATCAGAATCATCGAATAAGCCTTATTGATGGTAGACAAAGGATCCATCAATAGGATTTGATTCTTAACTGGTTCAAACACATCATTCAGTCCTACCAAAATCGTATCAACTTTCTTTCATGTCATTTTCACTAAAGGCTTTTCCATATCCACACACTCAAGCACTGATACTAGGCATGCATATTCACCCCCACATGCATTTCAATTTTGTGTAATATGCTCACCGAAGGAGTGACTTGTGAGAAGTTAAAAATTTCCTTTTGCAGTTGAGATAAGGTCTGTTGCTCTCTCAATATCTATCTGCAAGTTCGTCCCATATATGCTTTGAGCTCTTCATGTATATGAATACTTCAACAATACCCTTTGGGATCGAGTTAAGTAGCCACGATATTATTGTATACTCCACTTTCTGATGTTGTTCAAATTCCTCTATATTTTTCTTAGGAACTGCAACTATTCCATAGACAAAACCGAACTTCGATTTCACACCCAAAGCTAATCTCATAGCTTGACTCCAATGTAGGTAATTCATACCTTTGAGTTGGTTCATCAGCAACACCACCATTCCTGGACGATCTGAACCATGAAATAATAATGGATCTGTATCTCGCACATAGTTGTTACTGGTGATGATCTTCTTTCTTTGCTCATCACTGTTCCTATTTTTGTTGCGTGCCATGGTGATTCTACTCGTCCTGCTTTGTACCATGAAAACTTAGAGAAATCAAACATTTTGTGCTCACAGATATTTTGAGAATTTTCCGCCATTTTACTTCTCATAATCGGAGCTTACACATTTCTGTTTCTTCCTCAAATATTTAAAACTAACCAGCTCAAATTGGTTAAATGAGACAACCACGCGCGGGGCCTTACTAAACAGCTAAAACAAAAGAAAAATAAAACTCACACAATTCTGTAAGTAAAACACGAGTTTAGTGAAACGGAAAAAAACAGTTGAAATATGAGCAAGGACCGGGTCGTCATTTCCTTAGTGGCGCGCTACATCGGCGCTCGGGTGTAGTGGAAAATGAGCAAGGGTCTTCGCATCTCTCTCGACGGCTGCGAAGGGCAAGGAAGCTAGTCGAACCAACTAGGGTCCGTATAGGTAGCTGGAACATAGGGTCCCTAACGGGTAAACTACGTGAGCTAGTCGATGCAGCTACTAGGAGGCGTGTTAATATCCTATGTGTCCAGGAGACAAAATGGAAGGGTCAGAAGGCGAAGGAGGTGGAGGATACTGGCTACAAGCTTTGGTTCACTGGGGCTTCATCGAGTAGGAATGGTGTAGGCATCTTGATCGATAGGAGCCTTAAGGATGGAGTTGTCGATATTAGAAGGCAAGGCGACCGGATTATCCTAGTCCGATTGGTAGTTGGAGATTTGACCATGAATGTGATCAGTGCCTATGCCCCTCAGGTGGGTCTTAGTGAGAGCGCAAAGAGGCAATTCTGGGAGGACTTGGATGCCTTGGTTAGTACGGTGCCTGCAAGCGAGAAGCTCTTTGTAGGTGGGGACCTAAACGGCTATGTGGGTGCGACTGAGGTAGGTTTCGAGAGAGTGCACGGAGGGTTTGGGTATGGTAGTAGGGACGAAGAGGGGGAGGGTGTGTTGGACTTTGCGATGACCTACGACTTGTTGATAGCGAACACCCTCTTCAGGAAGAGGGAATCTCACCTGGTGACCTTCCATAGTGGACGACACGCAAGTCAGATCGACTTTATCCTTGCAAGGAGGGAGGATAGGAGCGCTTGCGTAGATTGTAAGGTGATACCTGGAGAGTGTGTTGTCCCCCAGCATAAGCTGGTGGTGGCAGATTTTCGATTCCGAACACGTGTCCACCGGAACAAATGTGCCAAGACCGTGAGAACGAAGTGGTGGAAGCTTAAAGGGGAAGCGGCGCAGACGTTTATGGATAGGATGCTAGGTGAGGGGCCTTGGGAAGAAGGAGAAGATGCAGAGGACATGTGGCTAAAGATGGCAACATGTGTACGGAAGGTGGCTGCAGAAGTCCTTGGTGTGAGTAG